ACATAGACATGCCTAGACATAGACATGTTACAGCCTTCTGTAACGTGAAGGCTGACTAAAGTTGGAAAAAGAGCGCACAAGACACTTAATTTGGTTTAAAATACGGACATTCTGACAAATAAGTAACTGTTCGTAACCTTACCTCAGCTTAGAAGGCAGAGGGTGTCGGTCTTTTCCGCTCAGATTTAGCTATCAGAGCATGAAGCTAATGTTTACTCACAATGCTAATGCTACCCTTACTCTCTGGCGCTCAAGAGGTACAGTAGCCAAGTGGCTGGCTCACTGCTGCCAACTAGTGGTCAGAGGCTGAACTACAACACAAAAATTAATGGCTGGCAGGAAAGTTGACATTTTAAACCTTAATTAAAAATCGATACAGGGCTTTAAAATATCAATRCAATATCGGGAAATGAAATATCRCGATATTTCAGTGTAKCGATATTTTCTTACACCCCTAGATTTCACTGATTTTTTTTATTTGTTCAATTCTGACCATTAATTCAGAAACTTTATTCTGACTACCAGCAAAACAATAATCCTGCCTTATTAAAACCAGTAATTTGTGTATTCCTGAAGATAAACCTTATGTTGACTCTCTCCAGATGTGACTGATGGGACAGGTTTACCGTTCACAAGTTTCGACCACTCTAAAGCTCACTTCTACAGATACGACGAGCAGGTTTCACTCTGTTTAGAAAGACTCAGGTAAGCTTTGGGTTTTGTCCTTGTCTGTGTGAACTTTGGATCTGATATTTCCTCATATTAGTATTTCTCTGTTTTGAGCTTTTTATTGTTATTTCCTGATGTGTCTGCTCTGGTTTGTCTTTCCAGTTCGTCACTTGCAGGGAAAGATAAAACAAAACTCACTCTGCAGGTAAGTCTTAACAAAACCTCAGGTGCATTTTTTAAATGTCTGTGTTTGATGAAATAGTTCAGCTGGTTTTTGGAACATTTCAAAACCATCACCCTGGAATTTTATGACTTCAGGACAGTTTTAACGGCTGAGGAATCTGGTATTCTCCTGATAAAGAATGACTGACTTAATAAACTGGCTTAAATCTGCTGATCTTTATTGCCAAAGTGATCTCCAGCAGGTTAACTCGGAACTGTGGGGCTGGCTGAGACAATAAAATAATGTGCACGACCAACAATACAGCTTTGCAAACAAAAATACAGATTATTATTATTATTTTTAATGGCTCTGTAAAATGCAGCCACGCAACTTGTTGGTCACTTGGGCGCCAACGCACAACCTGAAAA